ACCCAAACCACTTCCCATTCATTCCCACTGCAGACAATCCCAATGGACCCAAACCCCTTGCCATTAAGTCCAGCTTTGCACGATACCAATGGACTCAAACACCTTCCCAGTCTCTCCCACTGTACAGAATCCCAACAGATCCAAAATCTTTCCAATTCACTCCCACTGCACACAGTCCCAATGGATCCAAATGCCTCCCCATTCACTCCCACTGTACACAATCCCAATGGACACAAAACACTTCGCATTTACTTCCGCTGTACACAATCCCAATGGATGCAAACCCTTTCCCATTCACTCCCCATGCATACAATCCCAATGGACCAAAACCCCTTCCCATTCAGTCCCACTGCTCACCAACCAAATGGAACCTATCACTTTCCCATTTACTCCCACTCTACACAATCCCAACTGACACAAAACCCTTTCTCATTCACTCCCACTGCACACAATCCCAATGGACCCAAACCCCTTCCCATTCACTCCCCCTGCACACAATCCAAATGGACACAAACCCCCTTCCCATTCTCTCGCACTGCATATATTCCCAATGGATCGAAAGTCCTTCACATTCATTCCCAATTGCCAAAATCCCAATGGAACCAAACCCCTTCCCATTTTCACTCAATGCACACAATCCCAATGGACCCAAACTCCTTCCCATTCACTCCCACTGTATTCATTCCAATGAATGCCAACCCCATTGCCAGCCAGTTCTCAATGCCAACCTTTCAGCTCGACCGTGGCACGTTGAGAGGGGTGCCATGTCTTGGCGCCGTTGTCCACTCTGCACTCGTACAGCCCCTCGTCGTCTCTCCTCAGGTGAGTGATGTGAAGCCGGGCCCATCTGAGCGATTGTCGTTCGATGTAGATCTCCTTGGCCTTGACCCGGGGCTCATAGGTGGCATCGGTGTACTCGGCCTCGAGGGTGCTAACCATGGCAACCGGAGTGCTTGTGTCCAGCATTCTGACAAACGACCACCAGAAATCGAAGCGGCCTGCACCCTGGGAGTTCGTCACATTACACAGGATGGAAATGTGGGTTCCCTCCACCCTGTAGAGGGGTCCCTTGGGGACCTTGACTATCCGGAAGCTCAACGTTCCTGTTGGGACGACAGGAGCAGACGGACTGACGCACGGAGAAGCTGGAGAGCCGTGATCCGACCTTTGACCTTAAGCGCGCCCTCCCGCCTATTCCCCAACCCTCCGCCCCCACATCTCCATTCTTCAGCTCCCCGACAAAAAAATAGAAAAATCATTCCCTCAAATTCCCAAATCCCGTCGCCATCTGAGCACCCGCTGCTCCCTTTGGATGGGGTAGAGAGTTTCTGAACAGTCACCAACCTCTGAGTGAAAACATTTTGTCTCTCTCCAAAATGGCCGAACACTTGGATCGAGAGCATGGCCCTCCATAACTCTACAGTTCGCAGGGTCGGGTAGTGGGGTTGGGAGGGGGGCACAGTGGAGTCGAGAGGGAAAGGTGGAACAGCCTTTCAGTGGTACCTTTCAAGAAAAGCTCGAAGTCGTCAGGAAGAAGTCAGCACAGTTTCTTTAAAGAGAAATTACCTTCCCTGCCGATTTATTGGGGTTGTTTGAGGGAGGAACCCAGGGCTGAGGAGAAAGTTGGGCCTCGTCGATGTGGATTGCTCTGGGCCAGACCAAACCCCCTCAGAATATATTTGGAAGACGGCCTAGGCCCTAACTTTTTCTGAATTTAAAGGTAATGTTGTGTTCCAGATGTAGTTCAATTGGTCAAACTACACGGCATTAAGCGAAACTCATTTCATTCCTACGCTGCAGTTAAAAATACAACAAAAGAACGAAGAAATCGGAATAACTTCACTCTATTGGAAAACTTAACAGCATAATAGATTATTTAATATTCTAATTTAATAATCCAATATAGTAGCATACCCTAAACACACCCTACGCAAAGGCAAATAGATTGTCTCACGGTCAATTCTGCAATCCAGGAAGATTAAAAACATCAAGAGGGAGCTCTCTGAGAGAGTGAGAGAGAGAGAGAGAAAGTAGCAGGGAGAGAGAGAGAGAGTAGCAGGGAGAGAGAGAGAGTAGCAGGGAGAGAGAGAGAGAGTAGCAGGGAAAGAGAGTGTAGCAGGGAGAGAGAGAGAGTAGCAGGGAGAGAGAGAGAGAGTAGCAGGGAGAGAGAGAGAGAGTAGCAGGGAGAGAGAGAAAGTAGCAGGGAGAAATGCACTGCAGCTGTCACATCCAGCCCCAAGACCCTATCAACTGAAGAGCCAAAAACAAAAAAGTCCCAGTTCAGTAGGAGCTAGACCCCACCCAGCCAGGCTGCTTCTATTGTTCCAAGTTCATGATAAACCCCAAAGCCTCGCGAGCTGTTTACTTTATTGGTTTCAAATAGACACCTCGTTACTTCTGTCTTTAAAAACCTCTCTTCAGAAAGAGACCAGGACAAAAAAATAAACTGCACTTCCTAAAGCCACAGTACCGCCAAAGGATTTCCAGAAGACATTTGATATGATGCCAAATGCTGTATCGGGCAATAGGGAGGTCATGGTGTCAACGTCGGAAAATGAGAGGCTCTCCAGTTCGGCAGGAGGATCGATAAAGCGGACTGTTTCCGAAATGGAGAATGACTGCAGAGATTTCGGGGTTCGGGGGTTTAGGTGACCTTAGGAGCACAAGTTAGCATGGAGGCAAATCAGGACAATAGGATGCTTGGCTTCATTAAAAAGTGGGCTGAAGGTAGGAGGGAGAGGGTCTACCTAGGATTAAATATCAGCAACCTGGTCCCTCTACGTTGATGTTACAGTCAAGAAAGCTTACCGGTGTCTCTACTTCCTCAGAATTTGGCAGGTCCGCAATGATTGTGACCGACTTTTAAAGAAAGCATCCTATCTGGATACACCGCAGTGTTTATCTTGCTCTGTCCTGGACAGCAAGAAGCTGCAGAGAGTGCGAAACACAGCCCAGCCCATCACACAAACCAGTCTTCCTTCCAATGACTCCGTCTACACTTCGTACTGTCTCAAAAAGCAACCAAAGACCCCCTCCCACCCCGGTTATACTCTTCTCCACCCTCTTCCGTCCGTCAGCAGATACAGATCGGAAAACACGCGCGAACAGATTCAAGAACAGCTTCTTCCCCCCGCTGTTATCAGACTTTTCAACGGACCTCTCTCATATTCGAGTCGATGTACCTTTGGTAATGTAATGCTTTGCATTGTATTCTATTCCCCTGACGTGCTTATGTAAGGTACAATTTGTCTGGCTAGCTCCTGAAACAACACTTTTCACTATATCTCAGTACATGTGACAACAAGAAATCCAACCAAATGAAAGTAACAGCAAGAATCTTACACAGGGCATTGGTGTGGCCACATCTTGAATACTGCGTACAGTTTTGGGCTCCTTATTAAAGGAAGGATATTGGAGGCAAGTCAGAGGAGGTTTACCAGACTGAATGACTTATGCAGCTGGATTGGACAGACGAGTCTTGTTTCGGATGGAGTTTGGAAGATTGAGGGATGACGTAGTCTTCAAAACAATCTTTCCCTGATTGGCTAAGGCCAGGACCAGAGGACTCAGAAATTAGGGAGACGGGGAGTCCTTTCAGCCCATCAATGCTACTCAACCATTCAATATGACCCTTGCTGATCCTCTATCTCAACGCCATATTCCTGTTTTCTCCCCAAACCCTTTGAAGCCTTTAATATCTAATAACAAGCTCTCTTTTGTGAACATAGAGGGGCACGGTGGCTCAGTGGTTAGTGCCACTGCCTCATGGCGCCAGGGACCATTGTTCGATTCCACCCTCGGGCGACTGGCTGTGTGGGGTTTGCACATTCTCCCCGTGTCTGCGTGGGTTTCCTCCGGGTGCTCTGGTTTCGTCCCACAGTCCAAAGATGTGCAGGTTAGGGTGGATTGGCCGTGCTAAATTGTCCCATAGTGCCCAGGGATGTGCAGGTTAGGGTGGATTGGCCGTGCTAAATTGTCCCA